AATATATATTTTATTATTATATACTATAAATAATATTATATATATATATTATATAATTTTAATATAATATTATAAATTATATAATAAATTATATTAATATATTAATTAATATTATTAATCGAATTTTTCTCAAATTATTAAAAATCAAATTACTGTTAAATTAGAAATAAAATTATTAGAAATAATTAACGTAAAATCATCCTCATTATCAACAATCTTTATCCATCAGATATTTCTAATAAATTTTCTAAATACCAGTCCAATAAAAATCAATCACTGTTTTTTTTTTATGAAAACATAAAAATTGCCATTACTTTTCGATACTCCTAATACAATAAAAAAAAAAAATTAAAAAGAAAACAAAAATAAGAAAATGAATAAATAACTGACCTTGCTTTTGGTTGCTTGCAAATCTTGAGCGATTTTTCTCAAAGTGGTCCCGATGTCAATCAAAAATTGTTCGTTGCTTAAAACATGGCCAGGATATTCGGAACAATTGTTCGCTAATTCGCCATTGCAGACAGGTAATGCCTTTTTGAAAGGTACACGAACATTACTAGGTCTGTTCCTTCGTGGTCTTGGCCTTGGAGTTGGAGTTGGCACGGGTGCCACATTTCCTCCTTCTTCTTCTTCTTCATCATCTTCATTTTCATTATTATAATTTCTATTTCTGGCAGCATCAGCGTACGATGCAGCGGCAGCAGCAACAGCTACTGCTGCATTGTTGGATGAACTGCATTCAGGAAATTGAAAAGTTGCATCCCTCGTAGGGCTAGTAGGTGCAGATACCGTAACCCTCGGCGTGGGTGGTGGCTGCAATTGTCTCATCGCCGATGATACCAAATCTGGTAATGGTGGTAATCCTGACATATCTTGATCTAACAAAACTAATCCAGATGGTCCAAAAGCTACCCGATGATTATTTATATCTGCAAAAAAAAAAGAAACAATATTAATTAGTAATGATATTTTTATCAATCGTGGTATAATCAAATAAACGACATTTGTTTTATTATCATTTCATTCAATTAATAAATGTATGTATGCATATGTACATGTATGCACATATTATAATGCACATATAGGTTCCTTTTTTTAATTTATTAATTTTATATATATATAATATATATTAAATTATATTAGTATTCTATAATAATATATATATGTTAATTAAATAAATATATAATTAATTAAATATATTATAAAATAAATTTAAAAAAAATATATATATATAAAATTAATAATAAAAATAAATTAATTTTTTTAATTTTACTTTATGTTATATTTGTATTTTATTTTATGTGTATAAAATAAAATAACCAAATAAATTTATTGTAATTATTAATTTTATATAATATATATTTAATTAATTTACATTTAATAATTTGTATTTAAATAAATTAATATATATTATTATATTTATTTTAATTAATTAGCAATATTAACGTGAAACACATATAAATGTCGTATAAATAATATCGTAAAAGTTGACATATCGTTTTACAAGAAGATATTACACGATTTCAATTACAAATATTATCGTGAATGAAATACATGTAAAACACGTTGACAAATCTAAAACATCAAATCATACTTTTTTTTAACAAATATTAATCATAATTTAAACTTTTGAACATTGACAAATCTTAACTTCATGCATACTTTACAATTGTACATCGTCGACAAAATCAAAAATTGTTTAAACACATGATTCTGTTTTTTTTGTTTTGTTTTGTTTCACGTTCTCAAATAAACAAAGTTAAAGATTCGATGCAACAGATGAAAATTTATTGCAATGAATTACAATGAAAGTTATTTAGAATATTATCAGATGTTCCTTGTGTTTATGCTTGTTTATGTGTGTTTATCGGTGTTAGGTGTACACAACAACACATTGTATCACGTGTCGTCGTACTGATAGGTTCGACGTTTGAAATGATGTCGTCCCAGGTTAATGGAAAGGCATGAGCTACCGCTATCATGCTTATAAGGGTTTAACGTCAGCGTGTCACGCGTAACAAGGTAACACAACGTGTCCGAGAATGGCAAGGAACGACATTGTTGGATAATGATCGTGTTTTAAAAGACTTTACGAAGGGCGAATGATCGACCTTCGTGTTTTGACGTCTGTAATGCAATGTAAGAAAAAATAAAAAAAATAAAAAAAACACATTCATTTCTTTTATTACTTCCTTGTCTGTAATTCATTTTTAAAATGAAAACTTCTTTATTTTATTTTATTTTATTTTATTTGATATTATTTATTTTTCTTCTTATTTTAAATATATATTTTTTTTTGCTCGAAAGTATGAAAATACTTTTCTTTTTTTATAGGAACTAATTGAAAATTTATTATCTTTGACTTTGTTCTCTTCTATGTATATTTTTTGTTTTATTTTATTGTTTTTTGTTTTGTTTTTTTTTTTTTCAAATGATTGATGCAAAATTATTAAAAATTTATTTCTTTTATACTTTCTTATCTTTATATTTATTTTTATATTATTTTTTTATTCTTTATTGTTTTATTATTAGTTTATATATTGTTTTTTTTTTTTTTTTTCAAAACTATTCAAATACTGAAGAAAAGAAAATTTATTTATTTTATTACTTCTTTACACTGTAATTTATTTTTATTTTAATTTCAATGTTGATTATTTATTTTATTATTTTAAATATTATTTCTAAAACTATAGAATTTAATGGAATAAGAATTTATTTCTTTTACTTACATTTTCTGCAAATTTATTTTTATTTTATTTTTTTCTTTCAAATAATTTTCCAAAACTATTCAAAATTTCTATCATTTACTTTCTTTTCTGTAATTTATTTTTATTTTTATTTTTATTTTAATTTTTATTATTTCTTTTTCTTTTATTTTAAATATTATTTCCAAAACTATAGAATTTAATAGAATAAGAATTTATTTCTTTTAATTCCTTTTCTGTAATTTATTTTTACTTTATTTTTTACACACTATTTATTGTTTTATTATTATTTTCAATATTTATTCCAAAACTGTTAAAATACTGAATAAAAGAACATTTCTTTCTTTTATTACTTCCTTCTCTGTAATTTATTTTCATTTTTATTTTATTATTTATTATTTATTTTCTTTTGTTTCCAATATTTGTTCCAAAACTATTAAAAATTTATTTCTATTATTTCCTTCTCACTGTATATGTTCATTTTAATATTAATTTTAATTTTTATTCTTTATTATTTTATTATTTCAAATATTTTGTTCTCCAAACTATTAAAATACCGAAGAAAATGACGAATAAGATAAAACGATTGCTACAAAATAAATGATCGATAAGAACAAATCATATTAGCGTGGCGGTGAGGTGAGGGGGTTTAGTAATCAGATCGATAAATCATGCTAATAATATTTATCGATATTTATCGATATCAGATAAATATATATATATATAATAGATAATATAAAATACAGTCAGACTGCTTGACTCCGTTTTTAAAATAAATACATTACGTATACACATAGGTATTTTCATTTCCTATAGATTACATACAATTTCTGTTCTTTTTTTATTTATCATTTTTTTTCTTTCTTTTTTTTT